GCTGAGAGAGAGGGGTAAGTAGGCTCTCCGCTGAGCAGAGAGCCCGATGTGGGGCTCAATCCCAGGACCCTGAGATCATGACCCAAGCCGAAGGCAGAGGCTTTAACCCACTGAGCCACCCAGGTGCCCCTGTATGTTTTCTTTGAAGAAGTTTCTATTTAGATCATCTGTCCATTTTTAATTGGTTGTTTGTTTTCTTTTTATTGTATTATAAGAGTTCTTCATATAGTCTGGATATGTCCTTTATCAGAAATGTGATTCATAAACATTTTCTTATAGTCTAACTTCGAAGTACAGAAGTTAACTTTAATGAAGTCAGATTTGTCAATTGATTATGCTTCTGGTATTGAATTTAAGAACTCTCTGACTAATCCAAGGTTGTGAAGATTTTCCTCTATGTTTTCTCCCAAAAGCTTTGTAGTTTTAGCTTTTATTTATGCCTAGATCCATCTTTGAATTAAGTTTTTATATATGACGTGAGGTGAGTGTTCAACTTAATTTTTAAAAACACCTAGTACATTAAAAAATTAGTAGGCTTTGTTTTTTAGAGCAGTTTTAGGTTATAGAAAATTTGAGGACAAAGTACAGAGAGTTCCCCAACATCCCCCCACCCTCCTCCATGCATACACACTTTCCTGTATTATTAATGCATTACAGTAGTGTGACACATTTGTTACTATTTGTAAACCAAAATTGATACACCTATTAATCAGTTGGGACTGCCATAACAAAATACAACAGACTGGGTGGCTCAAACAACAGAAAGTAATTTTCTCACAGTTCCTGAGGCTGGAAGTCCAAGATCAAGGTGTTGGCAGGTTTGGTTTCTTCCGAGGTCTCTCTCCTTAACTTGTAGATGGCCGCTTCTCACTGTGTCCTGATACAGTCTTTCTTCTGTGTGTGCACATCTCTCTGTGTGTCCAAATTTCCTTTTCTCATAAAGACACCCATCAGATTGGATGAGAGCTTATTCAAAAGACTTCTATTTAACTCCATCACCACTTAAAGTGCCTGTCTCCAAATATAGTCGCAATCCAAGGTACTGGCAGTTGGGCTTCAATGTAAGACTTTGGGGAGACACAATTCATTCCAGAAGGATACATTTTTATTAACTAAATCCCATAGTTTACATCAGGGTCTATTCTTTGTGTTGTATATTCTATGGATTTTAACAAATGTATAATGACATGTAGCTACCCTTGTAGCATCATACACAATAGCTTCACTGCCCTAAAAATTCCTGGACCCCACCCATGCGTCCCTCCCTCCTCATGACCCCTTGACAACCACTGATCTTTTCGCTGCCTTCCTAGTTTTGCCTTTTCCAGAATGTTTTATCATGGGTGTAATTGTAGACTTTTCAGATTGACTTTTTTCACTAAGCAATATGCCTTAACATTTCTCTATGTCTTTGTGGCTTGATAACTTATTTCTTTTTGGCACTAAATATTCTGTTATCTGGGTGTACTGTAGTTTATTCATCCTTTCAGGTATGGAAGGGTATCTTGGTTGCTTCTAGGTTGTAACAATTATGAATACAGGTGCCATGAACATTTGTGTAGACATAAGTTCTCAACTCCTTTTGATAAATATCAAGGAGCACAATTGATGAATCATATGGTATGAGTATGTTTACTTTTGTAAAAACCACCAAGCTGTCATCCAGAGTTGCTGTACCATTTTGCATTTCCCCCAACAAGGAATGTTGCTCCACATCCTCACCAGCATTTGGTGTTGACAGTGTTCTGGAATTTGGCCACTGTTTTAGGTGGGCAGTGATATCTTCTTGGTTAAATTGGCATTTCCCTGATGACATATGATGTGGAGCATCTTTTGATATGCTCATCTGTTGTATGTATAGCTTCTTGGATGAGGTTTCTATTAAAATCTTTGGTCCACTTTTTTTTTAAGGATTTTTATTTATTTGACAGAGAGAGAGATCACAAGTAGGCAGAGAAGCAGGCAGAGAGAGAGGGGGAAGAAGGCTCCCCGCTGAGCAGAGAGCCCGATGTGGGGCTCGATTCTAGGGCCCTGGGATCATGACCCAAGCTGAAGGCAGAGGCTTACTTAACCCACTGAGCCACCCAGATGCCCCTTTTGGTCCGCTTTTTAATCAAGTTGTTTGTTTTCTTACCATTGAGTTTTAAAAGTTCTTTGCATATTTCAGATAACAGTCCTTTATCAGACAAATGTGTCTTTTTCAACTGTTTTTTCCCAGTTCATGCCTTGCCTTTTCATTCTTTTGACATGGTCTTTCACAGAGCAGCAAATTTTAATGTTAATGAAATTCAGCCTGTCATTTTTTCCTTCCATGGGTCATGCCTTTGGTATTGTATGTAAAAAATTTATTGCTAAAACCAAGGTCATCTAGATATTCTCTCATGCTATTTTCTAGGAGTTTTGTAGTTTTGCATTTTATGCAAAATTAATTTTTTTAATTATTATTTATATAATTTAATTATTATGCCTGTGACTCATTTTAAGGTAAAGTTTTTATGCAAAATTAATGTTTCTTAATTATTATTTATATAATTTAATTATTATGCCTGTGACTCATTTTAATGTAAGGTTTTTGAAGGGTTTAAGGTCTAGATGATTATTATTATTATTATTTTTCATGTGGATATCCAGTTGTCCCGTATTACTTATGGGGACGGTCCTTTCTCCACTGACTTGACTTTGCTCATTTGTCAAAGATCATTTGACTGTATCGGTGCGGGTCTAATTCTGGGCTTTCTGTTCTGTTCCAGCTTCTTTCCTTAAAACTTTTTTTTTTAATTTTTCAATATCTAGTCATCCTACCACCATTTCTTGAAAAGATTGTCTTTTCCTCATTTGAAAAGGGCACTGTTTTGAAGTTCAAAGTATAAGTTTATTTCTGGACTCATTTCTGTTTCACTGATATGCATGCCTATCCTTGCACCAGTATCCCACTGACTTGCCTGCCTTGATTTTACAAGAAACCTTGAAATTGGGTAGTGTAAAACTTCCAGTTGTACTCTTCTTTTTCAGAACTGGGTTGCTTATTATAAAGATTTTGCATTTCATATCAATTTTAGTATCCGCTTCTCATTGTCTACAAAAATGCCTGCTGGTGGGGTGCCTGGGTGGCTCAGTTGGTTAAGTGTCTGACTCTTGATTTCAGCTCAGGTCATGATCTCAGGGTGTTGAGATCAAGCCCCATATTGGACTCTGTGCTGGGCATGGAGCCTGCTTAAGTTTCTTCCCCCCCGCCACCTCCACCTGCCCCCATTCTGTCCTCTCTCTCACTCTCTCTTTTAAAAAGAGAAAATGCCTGCTAGGATTTGGTAGGGCTGGCATTGAAATTACAGACCAGTTTGAGAAGAATTGCCATCTCAACAGTATTGAACCATCCAATCCATGAACATGGAATGTCTCTATTTATTTAGATTTTCTTTAATTTCCTTCAACATTGTTTTGTAGTTTTTCAGTATTCACAGCTTGTGTTTCTTTTGTTAACTGTATTGCTAAATACTGACTCTTTTAAAAGATTATTGTGAATGGAATTATATTTTTATTTAATTTTAAACCTTTTCAGCTTTGGAAGTCTTTATCATTTGGGGAATGTTGTTGTCATCATCTATAAAAGTTGGTAGTTATAAAATTCCAGCCCAAGTTTGTACTATCATTTCAAGAACACTGAAGGTGAAATTCAAATACTCTGTTGTTACCATCTTAAGTGAATTAGGTGGTATTGATCGCTGGCCACAGATTATTTATTCATTCATTCATTTTTCCACAAAACCAACCATTTAGTTCCCCATTCTTTTGATTGACAGTTTCCATGGGGTTTTAACCTGTTCAGTAGGTGACTGCTATTTGGGGGTGGCTTGATGTCTGCTGAGACCACAGGGGTGCCCAGGTCATGTTTCTCTCATGGTGACAGGCTAGTCCAGGTTTGTTCTTGGGGCGAGTGGCAGAGATATGAGAGGGAACAGATGGGCACTGGACCCTATGAGGCCAGACCCCTTCTCTTGATGGCAGGTGCTTCAGAACCACATGTGAAGGGATGTGGATACAGGAAGGGAGATAACTGTGGCCATTTTTGCAGTTAACTACAGCAGCATATGTCTCTGCAACTCAGTCTGGCCAATTAGAACTGGAATCAGTTTTTTTGTTTGGGAAATTACCCACCTTCTGAATCTTGGCAGGGATGAATGTCTCTTTTTCTGATAGGAACTGAATATGCTACATACTTCTTTTCCTGGACTCTAGTGCATTTAGGGCACAGGCACCTGTGCAGTTTGGAAGTGAGAAAGATGCTGTAGTAGGCTCCATGTAGCATTGATTTTCTGGTTAGGGTGATGACAGAGGTGACTGGTTGTGACTCTTAAGTTCCCGCTGCAGAAACAGCAACCGTGCTGGTAACCGGGGCTGGTTGCAGTGAAGTGAAGTTCAATTCAGGGTGGAAACGTGGGAAGGATGTCAGCTGTTTCTTCTCTTGCTCTGCTATAGCAAGGTCATTGATGTTGTAGGAGAAATACAGCTTAGTCTACTCAGGGTAAAGGTACGTCACCTTAATAAGATGCGATGACTGCTTGCTAGAGTTACCAAAACAAGTCCATGTCCTAGAGATGTGTGGGGTGGGTCTCCTAGCCCGGATTCCCTGGGTTCATGGGGAACTTTGATGTCACCCAGATGCTCATCATTGGCTTTGAGTGTCTCCGTGACCTGCGTGCGGAGAGGGCAGCATCTGAGGGTCTTGGGCGCATGAATGGTGCATTCATCTGGGTTTGTTTTTCATTTCAGTACAATAGTCTGGTGGCTGTACTCCCAGTGATCAATCACATATGGGCTGATCGGCCAGCTGGAGCACTGGTGGTTTGGGAGGAACTGCTGTTTTGTCGCAGGTTGTTTAGTTAGTGATGTGAGCCCTTCTTCCAGGTGGTGCCAATGACCTGGCTGTGCAAACATTCGTTAGGGTCCTGGTGGCTTGGTGCAAGTCTGCGGCCAGTCCATATCACTTCCTTTCCCTACAGGCAGCCTGTGTGGTGATGGTATGGGTGCATGCTACCTGCTACCTGTCTTCGACACCGTGTTTGTCAGGAGGAAGTACCGTCGCCAAGGCCTGGGCATGGCCATGCTGCAGGACTTCTGTGAGACGTTCCGAGAGGATGAAGCCCTGGGCGTCAGTTGGCCGATTTCTCCTGCTATGTACCAAGGTAAACCCACTTTGTATCAGGAGGAAGTGTTGAGGTAATGGTGATGGATAATGCATGTGCGTTCTAGGTGATTGTGGGGTAGGGAGGTTCCTTGGCACTTTCGGTGTCTGGGTTTTCTCTTCTTCCTTAGAACTCTCCCATTGCTTCTGCATAGATGAGGCTTTATGCTGCATTACAGGGGGCGAGCCCTTCCCAGCCTGAGAAATAATTGGATTTAGAGATAATAAAAAAGAAGTTGCATGACCTCAGAGAGAGGCAGAATCCAGAGAAGTGCACCTGTGCTGCTAACTGCTGCTGGCTCTCAGAGAGCCTTTGCTCCTAAACTTGAAGCTTAGAGCCCATGACTTTGTCCTTTCCACTAGAAGCTGCAAGGGATCCCCAGGAGCTTCAGCTGGGAGGGCAGCTGGAGTACAAAAAGCGAGCTCTGACAGCATGAGCCCCCAAGTGCCTCTGTAGCTCCTATTGCAGAAGACAGTCCCATCTTCCATTCTTGACCTACTGAGTCCCTCTGTTGATCAGGGTTCTCCAGAGAAACAGAACCAGTAGGATGTAGATATATAGAGAGAAGAGATTTATTATGAGGAATTGACTCACATGGTGTAGAGACTGAGATTCCCAAGATCTGTAGCTGTTAGCAAATTGGAGACTCAGGAGAGCCAATGGTGTCCTAAGGGTCCAAATGCCTACAGGTGCCAGACCCAAGAAAAGCAAACAAGATTTTGGTTCAAATCCAAAGGCAATAGAAGATCGATGTCCTTGGGGTGCCTGGGTGGCTCAGTTGGTTAAGCCACTGCTTTCAGCTCGGGTCATGGTCCCGGAGTCCCAGGATCAAGTCCCGCATTGGGCTCCTAGCTCCATGGGGAGTTTGCTTCTCCCTCTGAACTTTTCCCCTCTCATGTTCTCTCAAATAAATAAATAAATAAATAAATAAATAAATAAAATCTACATTAAAAAAATTGATGTCTCAGCTCAACAGACAGGAGGAATTCCCTCTTACTTGTGGGATGTCAGCCTTTTTGTTCCATACTCAGGGCTTCAACTGATTGGGTGAGGCCCACCCACATGAGGGATAGCAATCTGCTTTATACAGTCTACTGATTCAAATGCTGATCTCATCCAAAACACCTTCACAGACACACCCAGAATAATGTTAGACCAAATATCTGGTCACCCTTGGCTCAGTCAAGCTGAGACTTAAAATGAACTGTTTTAGTTCCTTTCCACATTCTGGAAGAGAAAGCTTTATATATATTCGTCAGAGGAAATGAAAAAAGCTCTGATGCTAAACATCACATTCCAAGTCAGTAAGGGCAGCAGATTCTGATGGGTATTTACTCAGGGTCCCTTTGCACCCCACCCACCCCACATTGGGTTCTGTTTCACTTATTGTCAAAACCACAGGTGATTTTGAGCCCTTAGTATTGAGTTTCCAGTGCCGCTATCATATGGGGACAACAAATAAGAGAAAAGGCAGGAAAGATAAGGACATTTCCGTTACTCTGAAGTCCTAAGAAAAGCAGGTGAAACGTATTTCAAGTAGGTTTAGTCATTTCTTTGTATTTCCAAAGTAGTTGTCTATAATTAAACTCTGAAGATCCTTAAATTTCTGCAAAGAGCATTCCAGGCTTTCTGCACCGTGTTGCTCACTTTGAGGTGCTGGAAAGTTTCAGAACCTAGGCAACTGGTTCTCTGTCCACATACCTGTCCTTTTTGTCCCTCTCCTTATTTATTTATTAAGATTTTATTTATTTGAGAGAGAGAGCACAAGTAGGAGGAGTGGCAGGCAGAGGGAGAGGGAGAAGTGGACTCTGCTGAGCAGGGAGTCAGACGTGGGACTTGATCTCAGGACCCCGAGATCATGACCTGAGCTGAAGGTGTCTGCTTAACTGATAGAGCCACCCAGGGGCTCCTCCCCCAGCCCTAATTTTGCTATGCCTCTGAGACTTTTGCTTGAGTGCACTGGCCTCCCAGGGCAGCCACCTCAGGTTTCCCAGGGTAATAGAAGCTTCCAGGGGGGAGGCTGCCCCAGGGACAGTGCTACTAAGACCCTTGCAGCGTTCTGCAGATCTCTGTTCTCCCTTCTCTGTCTCTGCCTTTTAGAGAAAGAAGATATGAAGGCTCTTATTCTGAAGCATGCTACTTGTCTTAGGAGTTTCAGCTGCCTAGCCAAGGATGCTGGGGCCTCAGTCTTTTACAGCACCCCTGGCTGTATATGGGCATGTAGGGAAACCAGGTAGAATGTGGAGAAAGAAGCTGCTGGACGCTCAAGGCCGGGTCCAGGTGCACTGACCACATCCTTCACTGACTGGCCTTTATTGAGTACAGTCCTGCCCTTTGAATGGACAAGAGGGACTCCTGTCCACAGCCCTATGCTTTAGAGCCCCTTGGCAGCTCTGTCTCTCTCCATGGTGTGAGGAATCTGTGGGCCCAAGAGAATATTCCTATCTGGACCCTATCTGGGTCCAGATCACTCCTTCTAAGCCAGCTCAAGGTACTAGGACCCTAGGATTCCTACCAGTGGTGCTCAGGGCCCAAGTAGACTCCATCCCTGGATCTGTGCATCTCAGGGTGGACCATGCCACCAATTTGCATATCTTTACATCCCAGGGGCAGCCATTGGTGGGATGTGGATGGAGTGTGGGCGTGCTGTCCACATTTGTATGCACAGGCCCCCTGTGGTGTATGTGTGTGGGGCAGAGGTAGGAGGAGAAGCAAGTGGGCTGACTGCTGGGGGCCAGCTCTCTTGGTGTTGCCACATTCTGGTTCAGAACTCCAAGGAGTCCAAGAAATTCTAAAATTGAAACTGGCTTTCCCTGTTGTTACGAAGCTATATTTGTCAAGATAGGAGAGCAGAACATTCTATCTAGCACTCTGCTAGCTCGGCTTACACTTTCTGAATACTTAGTGTCAGGTTCTGGAGGTTTCCATCTGTGCTGTTGCCCTGGGCCGGGAAATATTAGGAGAGGGCCTGAAGGTGTCCCCATGGGCACCCGAAGGACCAGGAGCAGCTTCCCATTTGGCAGGATTGGGGCACTGCCCCATGGAAAGTGCTCGCCCTGTGAACGTGGACATAGAAGCCTTGAGGTGACTCTGGAATCAAGGCATTCGTGGAGGATGCACTGGAAGGTTCTGTGGGAGAGGAGAGCTGGGGAGGTTTCGGGCGGAGGAAGGACAGTGCCTAAGGAGAGGACAGTGTGGGGTTATGTTACGGGCTCAACTGGGTACCCCCAAGTCTTATGTTGAAGCTTTAGCTCCCCAAGTGACTGTACTAGGAGGAGGAGCCATTGAAGAGGTGATTAAGTGAGGTCATGTGCGTGAGGCCCTGATTCAGTGGAGTGGTAGGAAGAGGTTCTTATTTATGAGAGGGGCCTGGGTCACAGGTACAGAGGGAAGACCTCGTAAAGGCACAGCGACACGGAGGCCCACTGCAAGCGTCTTCCCAACTCTGGATGTGGGACTTCCTTCCCCGACTAGGAGACAGCCAGTCTGTTGTTGAAGTCCCCACTCAGTGCGTGAACCTTTGTTATGGCGGCCCCAAGCTAAGATGGGGTGGGTGCAAGTGGGAGCACGAGGTGAGACGATAAAACGGTAGCTTGCGCAGAGCGCGATCAGAGAACAGAGCCAGAACAGGGTGGGTGGGGCCTCAACAGGAACCGGAAGTGTCTTCCCATGTGGACAGAGGGGGCGGGCCTTCCTGGCTCACACGTGCGCATCCTCAGTCTGCAGGAAGTTCCTGTTGGCCCATCCCGAGGAGCGCGGACGCCTGTGGGAGGTGGAACCCCCAGGAGCCTGGGGCCAGCGAGGCAGCATCTGGTTGAAGGTTCGACTGCAGCAGTCAAGACCTCCAGACTGTGAGTCGCAGTGAGCGCTGTGCGCTTGGAAGCACAGGTTAATGCTACCCATGAAGTCAGGCCCGTCCAGGTTGCAAGAACAGAGGAGAGAGGGAGACCAGAGTGGTGGCTTCTTGCCCTTGGCCCACCTTCCTTTCCCGAATGAGTGACAGCTTCTAAACCTCGTGCGAGATCTCCCCCAATTTAGCTAAATCAGAAGCTCCCTGGGACGGAGGGGATCCCCGTTTATAACTAGAAGGGATCCCAGAAACCTAGAAGATGAGTGTGCGCACCCGGTTCGACCATCTGGAAAGCCACACGAGGGTTTGCTGTGAGGAGCCAGCCTTCCATGCCCCTTCCCCTTTCCCCTTGTGGGAGATGACACGCGTGTGTAAGTGGTAGTGTTGCATAGACCGCATTCTGCAAAGGAGTACCTTGTCCTTCCTGTCCTTCTTACTGGCAGCATAGTAGGGTGCTGGGTGGCGATGTTGTTTATTTGGGCAGCCCCGTACAGACAGACACTGCCCTCCGTTTGGTGTGTTAGAGCTCCACGGTGTGTTGCCGGCGGGGTTTTGATGGAGGGTGTTTCCGAGCAATGAGAAGAGGCAAAGGGAGGCAGCGGATGGGAATACCAGACATACTGGTGTCTGGTTCTCCGAGGTGCTTTTTAACAGCGCGTCTAACACCTCTCCCACGTCGAGCATGGATTGCACACTGCTGGTGGTTCTTAGCTCAGTGCTCAAGGTGAGGGTCCCTGGGGGCAGGGCTGGATCCACGCAGAGCGCATTAGGCTACAGGTGCAACGTATGGTTGGGAGTTGCTGGAGGTTCTCACAGTTTTAAGTTCACTGGCCAAAGTGAAAGTACTGGCTTTTCTTCCCTCCTGGGAAAGAAAGCTCTTGTCAGTATCAAATGCCATATACCAGGCTGCAGGTAGCTCATTAGGGGGCAGTGGGTAACTGATTTACCCTAGGAGGTGACAGGGAAGAGCGTCTTAGAGTTTATTGATGATAACAGTGATAGGTTTTGCTTTTTTTTAATGTTTTTTTTTTTTTAAGATTTTATTTATTTATTCGACAGAGAGATCACAAGCAGGCAGAGAGGCAGGCAGAGAGAGAGGAGGAAGTAGGCTCCCCGCTGAGCAGAGAGCCCGACGCGGGGCTCGATCCCAGGACTCCGAGATCATGACCTGTGCCGAAGGCAGCGGCTTAACCCACTGAGCCACCCAGGCGCCCCGATAGGTTTTGCTTTTATGGTGCCTTTCAGCTAGGAGGCTTAATGGATCTTTACAGATATTAATGGGGTGACCAGGCACCTGGGAAGAAGGCCATGGCAGGACAGTGACTGGGATCCTAATGAGGCGGTTAAGTGACTTGCCCTGTGGCATCCACAGCTAGAAATGAAGGGGGAGCTGGCCAGGATCCCCATGCACTAAGCTGAACAGCCAAGCGGGTTTATCGAGGAGCTTCACAAATGAGTCTGCAGCTCCCACGTGGATGAGGCCTTTGTATCTTGGACGTTCCTTGGCTGGGAATGAAAAAAAAGTTTGCATATCAGAATGTGGAAATAATGTGGAAATTGCACAGGCCAGAGGGGGCTAGGCAGGGGGAGGACGTTTTCTCATAATTGGGGAGATCGCTTTCCTCCGAAGAGAATTCCTCTGGGGGTTGTTTCCAGAGCTGAGAGTTGGTGTGGTCTGGTCACAGGAAACTGAGCTGGAAGTCAGATGCCAGACTTGTCACTTTAACTCACTGTGAGATTTGCCAACTCTCTCTTTAAAACAGCAAATGAGGGAACTTTCACAGAGAATGTTCCAGAAGCATGCTTTGAGTTCTTTGAAGGAAGAAGGGTCATCATTATAATTGGGATATAATTAGATTACTTAAAACTATAATTTTTATAAAATTCAAAATTACGATCTTTTCATTGGCTGTATAAATCATGGCTAGTTCCCAGTTTCACCCACAACTTCTGTCTCCCCCAGGGCCAGCAGTCAGGATTTTAATTCACTCAAGAGGGTTTTCAGCCAGCCAGCTTCATCTTGTAACAATTTTGTCAGCACTGACATTTCAGGTTTTTTTCCGGGTTGGTGAGTGGGGGCTGCATATGCAATCACAGACTAGCCCAGATGCTCTGCAGTTTCTCAGTTTCTAGTCTATCTGCCTTCATGGAACTCTGTGAGTGTTAGCCCATTAGGTTTTCCCACAGGTCACCAAACAATGCAGGTTCTGGAATCTTCTCTTGCCTTGGAAATCTCACAGAGCCATTTAATATAATTTTAGTTTTTAATCAGTGATTCTCAGAGTCGCTTTCTTAAATTGTTCTGTTTTTCAAGTTCTATCTTCCTTTATTTCTGGCTGTTATTTTGGAGGTTTCCTACAATTTCATGTGGTGTAGATGGAACTATAAGCAAAAAGCCCAGTGGAGCCAATTGCTTTTTACGTTCTAAGTAAGGCATGGACATTTTACATGGTTCCAAAGGGAAGTTAACTTGTGCTCCTTTTAAATGTTTCAAAATCTATTTTTGAAGCAACGACCTTTATGGACTAGGTCTTTTAAAGTTTGCATGGATCTTGCCTGTTGATAACATCTGTGGCTTTTAATGGCCCTGAAAATATTTACAGGGTTTTCAGAACTTTTGAGAGAAGGCGTTTGTGGGAAATGTTTTTCTTCCTACACTCAGTGACATTTGAAGCCTTTGAAACTTGACCAATAGGATCATAATTCTATCTGGTATGACTTCTCAGCTTGCACATGCCTTAAGTTTCTTTACTGGAGGAGATGAAATTGAATGCTCCAGCAGTTGAAAGTTGCTTTACAAAAATGTGGCTGGAGACAGGAAGTAATTGCACACAGCTTTAAAAATAAATTTTTTCATTCTTTAGATTATAGTTTTGCCTTCTTTCCAGGTGCATTTTTTAATAGATTCAATTGTCATCCACAGGGGAAATAGTTTTCCTCTATTTATATTTAATTTTTAATACTGGAGTGTACACAAAAGGATGTGAAATATTTGAGCTGGGAGTTGGAGGCATTTTTCTAAAAGTCTGAATCCTAGCAAACTGCAACTCTAACTTTATCTCAGCTTGTTCTGGTGAGTCGGACATTATATAGTGCAATGTTATGGTGGTGAACTATGGTGGGAAGTGCTGAGAGCAGAACCACCATACTGGATGGGTTTTTCCTAATGCTGCTCTTTGAAAGGTCATGTGGCTCCCTCTAGTGGCCATTTTCATCTATTGCGTCCTGTGTGGTCATTCATGGGTGGTACCTTACCTTGACCTACCTGTGTGGTTGCTTCTCAGATTCTCATCCTGACGCTTCCAAGTTAGAGCATTCATTTTTAAAGATTATCGGACCTTTATTGGTTAGGGATAAAATACAAGTTAACATTTTGTAGTTTCTAGCATGCTTTAGTCCTTACCACATAAAAATGTAGTTTCACACACCAGAAAGTGTAGAAAATAATGGATTGTCTACTTCATTGCCTCATTCATTCGTTCATGTATTTTCTCATTCATTCCGTGGATTACTGTGATGGAGGACCTATCAATGACAGGCCACTGGTAGAGGTAATAAGGATACAGTGGTGAATAAGGCTGGCTGAGTCTCTGAACTCATTTATGAGCTTACATTTTTGCAAAGAGAAGTACGTGGGCATCCATTACTGCATTATATAGAAACTCCAAGACAGCACTAAAGTATGTGGGTATTTTTAAATACTTCTTACTCAGTTTTGCCAAACCAAAGTTGGCTAATTCATAAAGTCTGTAAATAAACTTTATAATTTATGTATATAGGTAACAACTAAACAATATATTCTTATTTGAAAAGTGTTTTTTTTTTTTAATTTAAAGATTTTATTTATTTATTTAATTGACAGAGTGAGAGAGACAGTGAGAGAGGGAGAAGCAGGTTTCCTGCCAAGCGGGATGTGGGACTGGATCCCAGGACCCTGGGATCATGACCTGAACTGAAGGCAGACGCTTAATGACTGAGCCACCGAGGCACCCCGCCTTTTTTTTTTTTAAGTCAGTTCCATGCCCATCGTGGAGCCCAGTGTGAGGCTTGAACTCACGACCCTGAGATCAAGTCCTGAGCTGAGATCAAGAGTCAGATGCCTAACTGACTGATCCCCCCAGGTGCTGTGCAAAATGTGTTTCATTTGCATTTTCAGCTCAAATGGGGAACCGATTATTTTTTTTTTCTAAAGGATCTGAATGCCGTCTTAACACACACATACCTCCACATAGAGATTATGGGGTATAGGAAAGTACACAGTGGGATAAGAAAGTCATCCCTTTCTAAGTTGGGACTGATTTGGTAAGAGGGTTAGGGGAGCTGAATTAAAAAGTGTGATTATGGGCTCTCTTGTGAATAAAAATGCCAGTGAGCATGGAGAAGGACCAAAAGTAGCACTAGAGACGGACTCCATTTAATGTCTGAATAATGGAAGAAAAGATCATATTCCAGCTCAGAAGTGATTGAGTAGAACTGTCCATTCCCGTCTCCCCAAACCTGGCAGGTTTCCCTGTCCTCTGGAGGACACCGTAGCAGGTATCATATTGTAAGTCAAGAGGATGAAATTGGGTCGTGGTGATCAGTGCTTTTAGATGGTTCCCCGGTGTATTATGAATCTTTTGATTGTCTACTCCTTTGGAACCACCCCCATTTGCTCATCCTGCTCTCTTGCTTGGGGAGGGCAGCTCACCCAGGAGATGCCAAGGACCGTGTGAGCAGTCAACGGCAGACTACTCCAGATGAGGGACCCGGACAGTCCGAAGAAGGCAAGAAGGTATGGTTGTGAATGTGTCATTCTAGGAACGGTTTTCCCAGCGATCATGTCGTGCTTGTTCAGGGGAGCTCTAAACCAGCAGGGCCCCTTCCTAATCACCTTGGCTTTGGGCTTCTCCATGGCAGTGGGTTGTTGATTCATACTCAGGGCTCTGTCCTGTGGTAGGAGGAGAGGCCTTTGTAATTAGACTTTTCACGGTCCTCTTCTCTAAGCTTGACAAGCTCTCATGAAGCCAGAACTGAACAGAGCACAGGGGAATCAGCTGTAACCTTGCATTGGTAAGGAAATATTGAAAAACCTGAATTTCACATTCTGCCATGGACCGGCATCTTTTAAGCAGAGCAGATGTGTGGACAGATGTCTCTCTTTCCTCCTCTGTCCCTCGAGCCCCGATGCTAGAAAATGGAATATGGCATTAGATTATTGTAGAACACAGAGTGGTAGGAGAAGAGAACTGGGAATAAGGACGGAGACTAAGTATTAATTCGTGGCCCATTATCTGTTGTTCAGTGTTTTATAAGACTTTGAAGCGATGTATTCCATTAAGTGTTTTCCTGAAGCCGAGACAGACCTTTGCCCATACAAGGCAATTCTGGTAACGTCCATTTTCTGCTACGGAAGGGTCTTTGCTCTTGAAGTCCGAAAAAGTTGTTAATAATTTCAAACTCCAGAACTTCCAGTTGCAGCTTGTGAGCAGTACTGCTTATTTTGGAAAGTAGATGGTACAGGGATAGAGGACTCAACATCAAAGGCATAAGCTATCCCAGTGAGTGCTGGATTGCTTTAGAAAAACTGGCAGAGGAGGGCTCTCCTTTCCCTTGGTTTGCAATGGAGAAAGGGGCTCATTGACGGCCTTTCCAGACCACTGAAGTGAGAGTATTGTGCTTTACCTCTTTGTTGGTCCCCAACTTCTCTCGTAAGCCTTGAAGGCCATTAGAGGAAGCAGGAGGTGTTCGGTGTGATGTCACAGCCACGGCCAGGGGTCCAGGGAGGTCCACAGACTCAGGCGTAAGAGTGCCACCTTTTAAAGTAGTGCTTCCTTGCTTTGCTCTTTCTCTGATCTCCATGGATGGGCTCTTCAGTTCCTGCCAGGAAATATATTCCCACCAGTAAAAAGGTCCTCAGAGCATCTGATGAACAAAATACGGGGTCCCCCTGGCTGGCTGGGGCGCTGGAGCCCGGCTCATCTGGCCTGAATCTGCGCACACAGCGTGTGCAAGGGCCCAGCCAGGACACCGACAGGCCCCTTACGGCAGCATCGGAAAGCTGTGTTGATTGTTTTCTGATTCAGGAGAGGACCCGTGGAGAATGGGAGGAGAGAAAGAGCGATCAAGACTGCGGAGTGGAAGAAACAGCAGCGGGGTGGCTTGGAGGAGCCTGTGGGGCCCAGCCGGAGGGGAAGGCGGCCAAGAGGACAGCGGTGGAGGCGGGGCTGGCCTGGGAGTCCCAGGAGAAGCACCTGCGGCCCAGCTCCTGACTCCTGGGGGCAAACCCGAGCCTCCTCGAGGGGCCTGTCTGGGCTCTGGGGGGCACGGGCGTGAGCGCTGCCTCCGTCACTCCGTGCTCGCACACCCAGCAGCTGGCCTCTGCCCTTGCTGCATTGTACTTTGAGGAGAAAGGGACGGCACAGACCCTGCCCACCTGGGGCTTGTTTTGTGGGCTCAGGTGATAGAAAGCCTATAAAAGTGCTTTATTCCTCAAGTACAGAGATCTAATAAGCAGGTACAAGCAGCCGTTTTCCTGGGCTCAGATCTCAGAAGTGTGTTTGTTAAACCTAATATGGTTTCTGTTACCTGGGGTGAATTGGTAGAGACTGTACTAGAACCACGCGGATATGCCTCTTTCTTAAGCGCAGTGAAGCTCTGAGAAGGGCTGAGCCTGTTCTGATCTGTGCTACAGAAATCTGTCTCAGGTTTACCCCCTTCCCCCCAACCCGCCCTGCCCCAGACGTCACTGTGAGACCACAGACACCAGACGGGTTTCTAGGGAGACTCGTTTCTTTTCCAGAGACGCTTCAGCTGGAGCGGAAGCTCCCCGAGGACGGTGGTGGGGACTGCCTGGTGCACACCGTTTCTTAGCGCCCCGCCCATGTCTGGCCTAGGATACAGGAGGCGCTCATAGTTGGCTCCAGGCGGGCATCAGGATCTTAGCCATCACCTCATTCAGAGGGGAAGCCACTGGAGCAGATATTGTGCTGCTGGCCTTTAGACAGCATTCAGTTCCGTGAGGTCAAGGTGACTGTGCAGCTAGTGGCCGCCCCCGCTGTGACATTGGCCTCAGCTGCCTGCGCCCCCTGCTCGAGGCATGCACTTGGGGATTTGAAGCTGAGCCAAGGACCCTGCCTGTAAGGCCCTGGTGAGGACAGGACAGGTAGGCCTTCCACAGGGTCAGGCGCAGTGTGGGCTGCTTCCTGAGGCCTGGGGCCTGCTCCCCAGAAGTTGCTGTTCTCTGCATGTTGGCCGAGTCTCACTGATGCTCAGTAGGATTCTTAACCTTCTAACCAGACTGGGTCAGCCCAGTCCCAGCCCCTACTTGCGGGTGAATGGAAGTCTGACCTCCTCACTGGGCACACCCCTCTGAGGCTTGATCACTGTCTGGAGCACCTGGGGCGCTGACGACTGCTCCCATCTCTTGGCGTGCCTGCCTTGCCTTCTGGCTGCCTGGGCTTTCCGTCTTAGACACACCTGTGCTCTTGCTTCGGGGTCAGCACTCACACACTTGCTCTGCCCTGGGTGTGTGCCTTTCCCTCCCTCCCTCCTCCTGTCCTGTTTTTCTTTCCGTCCTCCTTCTCTGTCTCTCCCTCCTTCCCCCACCCCACCTTTGAATGTGCACTTGCACACACACACACACAGACACACACACAGCTTGTCAGTCGGGCTACATCTAGTCTCAGCTTAGGTGTCCCTTCCTGAATACCTCCTCCTCCCCTTCCCATGTGACCTCAAAGAACTGGGCACTCAGCTCTGATTTCCATGAGCCACCCACAGGGTCCGCCCTGGGCCATCTCAGTCGCCCCTCGTGTCCTCAGTGCCAGTGTAGAGCCGGTCCTCAGTAACTGTGGGGAATGAATGATAACAGATCACCCCGGGGGTCAGGGGTGACACCTTACTTCTGTTCCTCTGTGGTTCGACCCTAGAGATGGATGGAGAACAGTTTCAGCTCTTTGGGGGTATAGTAAAGCCCATCCTGGAGCCTGGGGATGGAGAGGAGACCACCAGCACCCTGTGCTGACAAGGTACTGATGTTTCCCTGAGTGGTCAGAGGGCACATTGGATGGGACCTGTTACTTATTCACTCCTCCATCTATCTGTCCACCCAGCCATCTGTCCATCCACCCATCTACCCAGCTGTCAGGCCATCCCTCCTTCTATCTACCTGCTTGTCTCTCCATCCATCAGTCCACATTTGTCCATTCACCTGCCCATCCATTCATTTGATGGACTCAACTGTCCATCTCTCCACATCTCTCCATCCACCCCTCTGATCATCGGTTCGTTCTTCCATTCATTTGTCCATCTACCCACCTGTCTTTTCATCCATCCTGACATCTATCCATCCATCCGTCCATCCATCACATCCACCTACCTACATGTCTGTCCATCCATCTGCCCACATTGGCCCGTTTATTTCTCCATCCATCCCTCTCTCCATCCATCCATCCTGATGTATAATAAATATTCAGCATGCTTGCTCAGGATTGATCTCTGTGCTGGGCATGGGGGTTATATAGGTAAGTGAAAGGTGTTTACTGGATTCAAACTCTTCTCTCTGAAAGGTCTCTTCTAGAGTGTTCTTCTGGAGTTGTTGTCTGTCTTTCACCCATTAGAAAGAGGGAAGAGTCCAGCGGAAAGAAGTAGAGTTTAGAGCTCCATAGGGAGACCTCATGAAGTCCCCCAGTGCATGTGGGCCCCTTGTGAAGGAGGCACAGACCACAAAAGTGGACTCTGTAACCAAGGGGCGCTCTACGACAGACACGATCTTCAATATGTGACTCGGTGTCTGCTGTGAACTTGGCACTGTTCCAGGTGAATGGCTGGTGCTTTGTGTTTATATGGAAATGAACTGATGAAAATGTCTCAGGGGTTTGATGAAGTCACTGTTCAATAAAAGCATCCTCCCAAGGGAGAAGAACTGATGGCGTTGGTGTAGTTCATTTAAAGATGTAAAGACAAACCCTGCAGAGTTAGAAGGAAACACTGGAGCTCTGAGTGTCACTCCAGCCAGTGACACAGTTGGGTTGGGTCTGGGGCCATGTGCAGCGCTCTTTTCCATGTAGCTTGTGTGGGGAATGCCCATAAAGCGTGTGTATGCATGTGTGTTGTGTTGTTTTTGTTAAATCAGTAATTTACAAACCATAAAGTTAATTTCATTTGAAGTATACAATTCCATGGTTTTTAGTATATTAACAGAGTTGTACAATCAACACCACAATCCGTACCTGCAAAAGAAACCCTGTACCTATTAGTAGTCTCTCCCTTTACACCCACCCTCCGCCCAAGGCAACCACAAACCTACTTTCTCTATATATAGATTTGTCTGTTCTGGACATGTCCTACAAGTAGAATTATACTGTGTGTGGTCATTTCCATCTGGGTTCTTTCACTTGGCATAATGTTTTTTAAGGATGTATTTATTTATTTAATTTATTCATTCATTTATTTGAGATAGAGACACAGAGATAGAGCACAAACAGGGGGAGAGGCAGAAGGAGAGGGAGAAGCAGACTCCCTGCTGAGCTGGGAGCCAACCACGGGGCTTGATCCCAAGACCTGGAGATCATGACCTGAGCCAAAGGCAAGCTTTAACCATCTGAGCCGCCCAGGTGCCCCTTTTAAGAATTTTCTTTTAAAAAACATTTTTTATTCATGAGAGGGAGAAAGTGGGGGAGGAGCAGAGGGACAGGTCAACTCTGTACTGAGCATGGAGCTCGACATGGGGCTTGATCTCGGGACCCTGAGATGATGACCTGAGCCGAAACCAAGAGTTGGATGCTTAACCGACTGAGCCACCCCCGCATACCTGGTGTCATGTTTTTAAGGTTCATTCACCTTATAGCTTGTATCAGTTCTTTGTTCGTTTTTTAAACTTTAAATTCAATTAATTGACATACAGGCTATTATTAGTTTCCGTGGTGCAGTTTAGTGATTCATCAGTTGTGTGTAACTCCCAGTGCTCATTCCATCACGTGCCCTCCTTAACGCCCATCACCCAGTTACCCTCCCCCCCCACCTCCCTCCAGCAACCCTGGGTTTGTTTCCTGTAGTTAAGAGTCTCTTATGGTGGGGCACCTGGGTGGCTTAGTGGGTTAAAGCCTCTGCCTTCGGCTCAGGTCATGATCCCAGGGTCCTGGGATCGAGCCCCGCATCGGGCTCTCTGCTCAGCAGGGAGCCTGCTTCCTCCTCTCACTCTGCCTGCCTCTCTGCCTATTTGTGATCTTTGTCTGTCAAATAAATAAATAAAATCTTAAAAAAAAAAGTCTCTTATGGTTTGTTTCCATCTCTGATTTCATCTTATTTTATTTTCCCCTCCCTCTTTTTATAGCTGAATAATACTCCATTGTAGGGATATATACCGCGTTTGCTCACTTACCTTTTTATCAATTAATGGGCTTTCATTTTTTAAATGAACTTTTAAATTTAATTTAAATGGACTTTGTATTTCTTTTTCTTTTTCTTTAAATATATTTATTTATTTATTTAACAGACAGAGATCACAAGCAGGCAGAGAGGCAGGCGCAGAGAGAGAGGGGTAAGCAGGTTCCCCACCAAGCAGAGAGCCTGACGCGGGGCTCCACCCAAGGACCCCGGGATCATGACCCGAGCTGAAGGCAGAGGTTTTAACTCACTGAGCCACCCAGTCGCCCCGAGGACTTTTTATTTTTTAAAAAGGTTTATTTATGTATTTTAGAGAGAGAGTGTGTGAGTGAGCTTGGCGAGGGGCCGAGGCAGAGGGAGAGAGAATCGCCAGCAGACTCCCCGCCGAGCGCAGAGCCTGACATGGGGCTCCGTCTCACGACCCTGAGATCATGACCTGAGCCAAAATCAAGAGTCAGTTGCTTCACCGACTAACCCCCCCAGGTACCTCCTGTTAGTGGGCTTTTAGATAGATTTGGCATTACCAGCAATGCTGCTGTGAACGTTCGTGCACAAGTCTTTATGTGGACATGTTTAGTTCTCTTGGGTACATACCCGAGATGGAGTTTCTGGGGCATAGGGTGACTCTGCGTTTAACTTTTTGAGGAACTGCCGAATTCTCTTTTGAAGGGATGACACGGTTTTCCGTTCCCTCCAGCAGTGCACGAGGGTTCCACTGTCTCCCGACCCCAGCCAGTGCTTGATGCTCTTTATCTTTTTGCCGAGCCGCCATCCCAGTGCTAGAGAGCTCGTTTCTCCCTGTGGTTTTCACGTGCACTTCCCTGACGGCTGATGACGTCTGCTGGCTCTTTTCATTCTTCATTGGGTTGTTGTATTATTGAGTTGTAACAGTTCTTTGTATATTTCAGAACCAAGTCTCTCATCGCATATATCGTTCGCACATAATTTCTCCAATTCTGCGGGTTGTGTCTTCACGTTCTTGATGGCATCCTCTGAGGTGCACAGCCATTTGAATTCTTGACGCACAGTGTATCTACTTTTCTTTGGTGGCTTGTGCATTTGGTGTGGAAGCAATAATGATTGTGTCTTGTAAATGCCGTCCATCTAAAGGGTGTTATTAGGGAGAAAGTTGTTTGATTATACGATGATAACAGAAAAATCTACAAAGCAGTCAATACTTAGAAGAAAGCCATCTCTGGATCCCAGGCCCATGTCCTGTGAGAGGTGCAGTGCCTTGTGCGTCGCTGCACCCCAAACTTACCATATGACCCAGAAATT